TGTGTGTGTGTGTGTGTGTGTGTGTGTGTGTATACAGTACAAGAAGCAAATAAAATGTTATGGCTCTGCATTATTGGATGAAATGCCAGTGTTTCAGTATATAATACCTCACAAAAGAGAACATCTTTTAAATAACAAACTACCAAACTGCTCAAGGTCACTTCTATTGTCCCATATACAGCATATCATTATCTAGAGAAACAAACAATCCACATACCTATAAACGTGACACAATCACAGGGAAAAGTCATCGAGGAACTCCTACTCAATTTGATGTTAAGTGCAAAGCCATTTAACCAAATGCAGTATGTGTCTGTGTTGAGGTAATCATGTCTCTTAAAAATAGAACTACCAATCCTGTATGTGAGTCCAATTTAAATTACATTCATATACAACAACTTATCTTGGTTTCCACCAGATTTCAGCTACATAAATTTTCAACATCCCTCAATTTTTGCTGTACAGTACCCACACCAGTCAGATGGCTATTTCAATGTACAGAGGTTATAGGTCTCTTCAGCGTCCCGGACATCGTGCTCAGAGATAAACCTGTAACACTACGAAGGGTACATGACTACACGGCATCTGTGTTCAGCTCTTGGTAGGCTGTATAAAATGTAAAGAAAAACAAAAGATCCATATCAAATGTTGACATAAAGCAGCAACATATTTTAAAGCTGCTGCGTGTCACTGGTGCACAGCTTCAAGGCCAGCATCAGTAACAATTTGAGGGTGCAGCATGGTATAGATATTTTCAACATCTGTGAAGGCAAATGTGAATTTACTTACATGCAACGATATGTGTACAAGTTTATACAGCAACATGCTCTCAATCACACATGCTTTTCTGCCAAATCCTTGGACTGTATCAGCATTGATAACATGTCCAGGTCCTACAATGGCCTGCCTCCACTTCAGGTCCTACTTCACTCACTGTAAACATTTGGTGCATTATGAAATGAATTACACCAAACATGGGAGCTTCTTCTTTTCAAAAAAATTTCTCCTTTTTGTTATATATAGTTTTTCTTGTACCGTTTTCATAAACGTAATTAATTTGTTTGTAAATCATTACATTCTGTTTTTATTTGCATTTTACACAGCATCTGACCGTAAAGAAAATGTGATTCTGTTACACGAAACTTTCCAAAGACTTCAACCAGTGTGAATAAATATCCATAGCCTCACTCCTCACTGAGCTTCACAGGCCAGTAGTTGGGCTGGTTGGTTCTTCAACTTTGGCTTTCAGGGCCCAGATGCATCTTTAGATTCATTTACATCACACTCTTAGAAACTGTCTCTCTTCATACTCTCTGTAGCTTTTTTTCATAGTTGATCTTCAGCGAGAGCTTCTTATATGCTATGTTCCCTTGTTAGTTTTTCAGTAATTTCTACTTTGTAGGATATATCCTGAGCTAAAAGAAAAAGAAGTATGCTAAGTAATCTGAAGTGTTCCTTTGTCATTACAGTGCATATATAACAGGAGGAGTCTTGAGTTCATGAGTCTTACCCCATTCTTTTGGATTTCAAATTGTTATTACCTCCCAGAAATTTAATTTGACACATTTAAATGATTTTGTTGTAAAAATTTGGTCTTTCTTTTTCCATTTTCTGAGACTTTCCAGTTTTTTGAGTCAATCCTCAGAAAGATGCTCCATCAACCTTAACAGTGCCCAGGGCTTGAACTAAAAGAGGAATAAAAGAAAATTATAAGAGACGCAAAGATAGCTTATCGTGGGTAATAAATGGTTATACTTTTTCTGTATAACCATGTCATTTTTCTTATGATGTTGTAAATTAATAAAAGAAGCATCAAGACTGTGATATTATTGAGGGAACACTTGCCCACATTGTGAACATAACTACGACTTTTCAAAACCTACATCCTTATAAATAGTCATATCATTTGGGAGATATCACACAAAAACAGCACCAGAGAGTAATGTAAGAAGACGTTCTTCTGAAAAGGACAGGTGGAAAGGTTATGCTGCTAATAGAGACTCACCTTGTGAGAATCACACCTTCATGGTGTGGGTTGAGATGGGAAAGTCAGCCGAGGAAGGGGGAGAAACTATGTTTGTTGGGGAGACTGGAGAACTGGAGGCACACTGAGCTGCAGTGAGAAGAGACGGGCAGAAGGTGAAAATGTAAAACAAAACAGAGCAGTGATTTCTTTCCACTCAGACATGGAGCATCAAGGAAGCTCCAGACTGGGCTTCATGTGATTTGAGACACTGCAAAGTAACACAAGTACAGTTGAATACGCTCAAGGACACATTTCTTCTGTATTTTTGCAAAGTAAAGATGAGAAGGTTAAAATTTTAGATCCTCCCGCAGGCCCACCACCCGCAGGAGGCGCCATAGTGTGCATTGTGTGCCGGGTGGCGGCCAGGAGCAGAGGCCCTGGCGGACTGATC